TGCCACAGGCCACCTACATGTCCAGGACACAACTGGGCTGGTCAGGAATGGGGATGAATGACCCGCGATGGCAGCAGCAGTACTCTACCGGTTCTTCCTGCACAAGCATGCACTCTGATCAGGGACACGTGATGGCAGAACATACAGAGGGCCACATGGAGCTTTTGTGCTCTCTTCCCAATTTCTGCATGTATCCTCAGTCTTAACAGTAGAGCCTCTGTTTCCTTGGCTGACCTTCTAACTGCTCCTTAAACAGCCCCACCTGAGTAACCCCTTCACATCTGTGCACCCAACAACCCACCTTCCCCTTTTTCCAAAGAGGCCCATTAAAGGTTAGTGAAAGTCCGAGAACAGCATTTCTTCCCATGTAGTGTTGCAGGAGATTCTTCTTCACATGCATGAACTCTCTTTCTCTCTCTCCCATGAAACTTCATAGAAGCCTACCCCGCTGGCCCCCCGTTTTCCTTTCCCTTTGACTTTCCCATCTTGGGTGTCTCTGCCAGTGCCATCTGGCTGCCTCAGGTCCTGTTGTCCTTCTGGTTCACTCTAGACCCTGCTCTCCTGGCCACCTCATTCCAACATGTGCTTCTAAGTTTTTAATCATGGTTAGGTTGATGGTCGTGCCACGTAGGCCCTGAATGAAGATGACGGCATTGATGCGCACAGCCTATTGTTGAAGCCAACGCATGTCTATTTTTAATGATAGAAACGAATGAATTTGAAGAATTGTGTTTTTTGTGCGCAGGATGTTTCATTGTAAGTGGCTCAGAAATAGTGGCAATAAGTTTTGGTTTCATAGTCAGCTGTATACTTGCGGCGTCTGTAGGCCCTGGTGATTGGAAGGACATAGAATGTGGAAGATGAAGTCATACTTCTTCTCCCATTAGAAGGGACTCACCTCTGCTCTCATTTTCGCTGGTTTCCTGCCCACATCTCAGGCCCCAGCCCTCTGATCTGCTCTTAGGAATGGTTTCTTCAAGTTCTCTTTATGCCAAGCTAATCCTACGGCCCTCGGGCACTGACCCCACACAGTCCCAATGCCAGGAGAGCAAACATCTCTGCTAAGATACCGGAATACCTGTGCACATGGCTCTCACCTCAGGGGCATCCTACAAACGACTAAGAAGCTTCCAGAGCCCCTGGCATTGGCGTCAGATGAACCAGAGTTCAAATCTCTGTTCTGTGGCTTATCCTCCTCAGCAGCTGTGTAACCTGGAGAGCCATCCCCCTCATCACCCTCTCTGGGCTCAGTTTCTTCATCTGTTGAATGGGGATAATCTGCACAAACCATCCACCACAAGCTTTGTGCACTACTGATGAATAAGAAAGGTTTTTTTTAAAACTTTCTGTCTCTGCTTCCAGCTGTAACCACGGCCCCTCCTCCTGCCCAGCTAACCCAATCCTGACAGTGCAGTCTGGGCCACTCACATTCCTTTCCCTCTCCTCTCGGGCAGGAGTGGGTTGGCAGTTAAGACTGTACAGTTCATTAGCAGGCAACTGGACAGGTGACACTGCCTGCTGGCAAAATAAACAGCTCAAGGGAAAGCAAATGTCTGGGCTTAGCACCTGGGTGAGGCAGCTGAGTGGGGCATGTGGGCATCAGTTCCAATATAACAAAAAACCAAGGGGTGCTGTTAATATCACCACCATCTGGCAGCTTCCCAAACACTGAGACCAAGAGAAGTTTCATGGGCATGAGGCCAGACTGGAAAGTATTTCTCAACCTTCTAGATAATGCGTGGTTTGGTTGGGGAGGGGACTTGAGAGATTAAGTGTAGATAGGTAGATGGTGGCATAAAAAGTGAACATAGATCACAGAAAGCGAATTTAAGAGAGGGATGTTGCAGGACCTTCTCTGCTTGTGGCTTTTTGACTGCCCACTCACTCTCCTTCCTCTCAAGCAAAAGTCACCAAACTCCTCCCCTTAAAACCCCTGAAGGCCCAGGGGTGATGTGAGGAGTGAGCCAGGGTGCAGCTCTACCCACTGTGATATGGGTGGTCCTGGTTCAGCTGGGAGCCCCTCTCCTCTAGCGCTGGGACCCTGGCTCCCACTCCCTCTCTCTGCCCCAGGTCCCATCTTCCCGGGCCCACGTGGCTGGCCCCATGTGTCTGACCACCTGCTCTGCGGCTGCCCGCCGTGGAGTGGCCCACAGAAGCCCCTCTTCCATTTTGCAAGACAAACAGAGGAACAGATGGACGGGGCCGGCTGAGAGCCCAGAGCACAGCTGTCCCAGCTGCCTGCTCTCGTGTACTTTGCGCCACCTGACATTGGCCTCTGTGAGCATTCGGGGGCGGGTGGTGGGGGGGGGCGTGGCAGGAACCGGAGGCAGGAGGACCCTGCAGTAACAGTAATCAGACTGCAAGTCTTGTCAACTGTCTCTCCTCCTTTCAGTTGAAGAAATGGACTTCCCTGTCTGCTGAAGCAGGAAATAGGGGTGCAAGAAACAGGACAAGGAATGGGATAAGGAAAAATCTCAAACAGGAAGCCTACTGCCCAGCCCGGCAATGGCGTGGGTGTGTATTTTTCTCACCACGATCCTATCAGGAATTTCCCAGGTTATGTGACTATGTTGATCCTCCACATAATACTCAAGGCCCCCAGAGTTCAGGATCTTCAACTATTCCTTAAAGGGGCAGTCACCTGGAGTGGGGGGGTGTTCAGATGAAACATTTGCTCTGCCCAGCACTCCCTCCCCTGAAATCCTCCCAAAGTGAAGTGGGCTTCTTGCTGGTCATGGTCTCCTTGGTCTATGAGTGTTTTCTTAAACTCCACTGCCCTGGAGCAGCAGGCGAGGAATCTGAGTCAAAGGAAGGGAAACCCAGCATTAGTGTCAGGCTTTGCTCCCAACAGTGAAACCTCAGCATTCCAGCCTCAAGCCCATGCATCCCTCCTTTCTCCTGGGAAATGTCTCCGCGGTGCTCTCTGTGTCTCATAGGCCCCAGCGGCAGTTCTCCTGGAGGTTTCTGTGGGTCACCAGCCCTTCACCACTCCCTGCAACCCCTTGTTCTGCCATGGGGGTATAGGTGAGTGGTCCCACTCCCCCGGTTCCCCTGACTGGGGGTGGTCTTCCTGTTGCTTTCCGTTGGCGAGGTTGTAGCTGCCTTTGTGGCTTCTTCAATAGACGTAGTGCTGAGTGGAGAAGGCAGAAAAGCCCTCTCCTTCCCTGATTACGCTCCAGCTCTAAGCCCGCGGAGGAAGTGCTGTTTCCTCAGGGCTCTTTCTGTCCACTTTCCCTACTCTTCCTCTCCTCCTCCCTTCCCTCTGCTGAGGTTTGTGGCAGAGCATCTGGGTGGCCCAACGAGGACTTGGCCAACACGAGGTTCTGCTCCCTCTTCACTGCTCCTTCCTCAGACACACAGCCAGTGCCCCAGGACCGAGCTTACCCTCACCGACTCTTGGTGCCTGCAAGTGAAGTGTCCTCCTGTTTCGTCCCTTGCCCCAGAGGTTAAGGGACAGCTGTAGCTTCCCAGCCTCCAGTGGCTCTTTAGACTGTGAAAATAAAACCATGGCTGACCTATCCCTGTGGATCGAGTTCTCAGTCAAACTACGGAAAAACTCTTGAGTATATATGAAATAAAAAACCACAGAGAAGGTGATGGGTAGATTCTTCTTGTTTGGGAAGGTTTCCTGACTCCTTTACAGCTTGGAAAATGCTTCCTTTCTGAGTAAAAGAAAAATAATCACCAAATTTAGGGTTATCTCTTTAGGTATCCCAAAAAGATAATAAAGCTTTTTCTTTCTTATCTCTGCTTCTTTTTTTTTTTTTTTTTTTTTTTTTGTTTTTGAGATGGAATCTCACTCTGTCGCCCGGGCTGGAGTGCAGTGGCGTGATCTCGGCTCACTGCAAGCTCCGCCTCCCGGGTTCACACCATTCTCCTGGCTCAGCCTCCTGAGTAGCTGGGACTACAGGCGCCTGCCACCACACCTGCCTAATTTTTTGTATTTTTTAGTAGAGATAGGGTTTCACCATGTTACTCCTGACCTCGTGATCCGCCCGTCTTGGCCTCCCAAATCTCTGCTTCTATTATGTGATGAAGAGAGAGAGAGACCCAGAAGGTTAAAAAGAATAAGGCTGTCTTTTAATTAGCTCTATCAACTGATAGGACATAGAGCCACCAAAGCGTACATGAGCCACATTTTCAACAGGTGGGGACAGCTGGCCTGAAATCCCAGAGTCATCCTTGGAAGACTTGGATGCCAGAAGTATCCAGGTGAGATAGAAAGGGCATCCTAATTAGGTCAGGGGAAAAACTAAGGCTAAAGAGGTTTAACTAAGTGCAAGGGTTGTTAAGTGTCTGAGTCATTTTCTGTTTGTATAACAGACTACCATAGGCTAGGTAATTTCTAAAGAAACGAAATTTATTTTTTACAGTTCTGGAGGCTGAAGTCCAAGGTCAAGGTCAAAGAGCCACATCTGGTGAAGGCCTTCTTGCTGGTGGGGACTCTGCAGAACCCTGAAGCATTGCAGGGCATCACATGGTGGGGGAGCTTGAGCATACCAAACTGGCTTTTACTAGAGACCCACTCTCATGATAACTAACCCACTCCTGTAATAACCCATTAATTAATTAACCCGCTAATCCATTAGTCAACTATTAGATTAATCCATTGATGAGGGAACAGCCTTCATGACCCAATCACTAAAGGCCCTACTTCTTAATACTATTATAATTGAGATTAAATTTCAACATGAGTTTCAGAGCGGACAAACATTCAAGCCATAGCAATAAGAAAGCTATACAATTGTTCCTGTGTGCATATTTCTTTTCTTTTTCTCTTTTTCATTTTTTTTTTGAGATGGAGTTTTGCTCTGTTACCAGGCTGGAGTGCAGTGGCGCGATCTCGGCTCACTGCAGCCTCCACCTCCTGGGTTCAAGCGATTCTCCTGCCTCAACCTCCTGAGTAGCTGGGATTACAGGCGCATGCCACCACGCCCGGCTATTTTTTTGTATTTTTAGTAGAGATGAGGTTTCACCGTGTTGGTCAGGCTGGTCTTGACTCCTGACCTCGTGATCCACCCCCCTCGGCCTCCTGAAGTGCTGGGATTACTGGAGTGAGCCGCCGCGCCAGGCCTGTTTCTTTAAATCTTATTCTACTTGCATTGTTTCAATATATTCTTCGGTGAAACTATTAAACCCACTTTTTTTAAGATCTCATGTTTAAATATCTCAATTTTGTTTGTAAAAGGATAATAGGATAGAAAAGCATGTGATTATTTTCTACTCTTAACTATACCAAAACGATTAGGAAAGCCACACAGACATCAGCAGCAAGGCACTGTTGGCTTGCATAATGCTGGCATGTCCCAAATGCAGGCAAAGTTCCGGAGAGGACATTACCAGTTGCTAACAGATTCTGGCTATATGACTCATCTCCAGGGAACAGGATCAGTGTTATTTGATTTTGCACTATCAGAGTGGTGGGTAAATGAACATGATTTTCCTCTCCTGCTTGTCCATATGTCCAAATAATTAATATCTTGTGAGAACAAAATGAATCCAATGATAGCTAGCATTTATCAAATACTCATTATGTACGTGGAACTGTTAGTCATTTTCATAAAGTAGATCATTTAATTCTTCACAAACCCTGTGAAGTAGGCATTACGGTCTCCATTTTGCTGAACAGGAAAATGAGGTGAAGAAAATGCTGAATCACTGCTTGAGATCACAGAGCAGGTGAGTAGTGGGGTTGGGATTCTGGCCGGATTCCAGAACCTGGGCAGAAGAACTCCTGGAATTGAGGGAGAAATTTTAGGTTGTGCCTAAATCAAAAGTTGCCCTTTGCCTGCCAGAGTTTCTAACAGCCTCTTCTTTAATCAACGTACCGTTTTTCACCCTTTGATAAAGTAATAATTTTCACCCCCTGCAAATTTAAAAGTATACTGACTCAGGTTAGAACCATTTCTGTCCCAGGAATATCCAATATGATGAAAGGTTTGGTTGTTTCCCCAGGGATTTAGTGTTCCTGTAAGGAGTGTTTTTCCTGACATTATCAAAGTATGTGTCTTATTTTTGCATTGCCTTGACTTCTGTCAGTCAAGATTTTGTAATGTGGGACATTGATGGATTGACTGTTATAAACAAACTTGTGTATGTGAAAATGTATGTGCATTCACTTTTGTGAGGAACACAACATTTTTTAGGGTTGTCAGATTATTTCGACAAAAAGCTGAATGCTTTTGATTTAAAAAAATGTCAGCCCCAAAATATGTACATTATTAGGAAATTTATTGGTTACAATATATTTTATATTTTATACCAATTTTGCAACTTTTGTCAGTTTTACTATTTAAAAAATTTATTTGCTTCTGTGATAGTGAATTTTATGTGCCAACTTGGCTAGACCATGGTTTCAAGCTTTTGGTTAAACACTGGTCTAGATATTGCTATAAAGGTACTTTTTAGACATGATGAACTTTTGAATCAGTAGACTTTGAGAAGGCAGATTGTTTTTCATAATATGAATGGGCCTCACCAAGTCATTCGAAGATTTTAAGAAATAAAAGACTGAGGTACCCCTAGGACGAAGAGATTCTGATCCAGTCTGCCTTCAGACCTGAGCTGCAACATCAACTGTTTCCTGGGTCTTCAGCCTGCCTGTTTGCTCTGCAGACTTTGGCCTTGCCAGCCCCTATAACTATGTGAGCCAATTCCTTAAATCTCTTTCTCTCTCTCTCTCTCTCTATATATATATATACACACACACACACATATATACACACACACAAACATATATGTATATATGTGTGTATATATGTGTGTGTGGTGTATATGTATACTACTTGTATACATATATAGATAGACACATACACACACATTCTGTTGGTTCTATGAGTCTTATTCCCTGCAATATGCATACCATGTTGGGTCCAATAGTCCATATATTACTGATGACACTGAAAGTTATTTCACACTGTTATTTGCCAAAGGAAATGAAAAGAAATTCAAATCATTTCAGTAAATTTGGAGTAGCAGATTCTTTGTGAAAAATGTATTTTCACTTTTCAAGAAATGTGTTCCCTCAAAAATCGGGCATAATATTTAAAGGAAAATTTGCAAGGAGCCCTGTTCTCCATGGTGACAACATGCAGAGTAGAACTACTTCATCGAAACAAGATTTCTAGTGATTAGCTAAAACCCGAAGCTCCAAAACACAGTGAAGTGGATTTTAAAAGGAAACCCTGTCTCCCAGTGTTTGAGAATTATATATACATACAGGGCCTCAGAATCAATGAATTGAGTATATGAACTCTTAAATAGTCCTTCCACAATAGAAAGAGAAAGAAGTAGTAATGGAGCATTTGCGGGTGAAAGGATTCTAGGATAGGGATTCCAGGAGAGGAAGGGGAAGACCCCGGGGCTGGTGATGCGGTGTGGGTGTGTGGTCTACCAGGGCTTCCATCAGAGCTCAGGCTGTCCTATCCCTTTGGAGCAAGATTACTGTTAAGCCCTATACCACCAACTTGGAGCATAAACAATTTCATTCCAAAGTAGCATCTCAAAGCAAAACAATGAGAGGCCTAGATCTCACAGGTTAGCAGGAGACACATCTTACCCCACCCCGTCCTTCAAACTTCCTCCAATGGCATATTCTACAATTTTTGGGTTGTGTGCCATGTCAAAAGATTAGTTCCAGTTATTTTAATTTCTTGGTTGGTGCCAGAACTCTGTTTCACCTTTGAAGGTGCTGCTGCCCTGCTCCTGGAGGCGATATGGCTTGTTTTGCTCTCTCCCTCTGGCAGCCATCCTGACTGGTCTCAGTGCTGCCTGCAGATATATAATGTGCTGTGTAATGCTCGGTCAAGGGGAGCCTCGCGAGGGTGGGGATTTGCAGCATTACAACTCTTTGGGGTTGCAGTTCTTCTTTCCTTTCACTCACTCAGCCGTTTCCTTAGGGTGCAAGTCTGTTTCCGTGATGGCTCACCACTGGGGACAGAATCAGTTGCTGAGGGGGCCTTAAATCCTGGAACCACCATTCCCTGTTAATGCTTGGCCCTTATTGTTCGCAGGTACTGTTTCCTTCTCCATATGGTGAATTATTTATTTTTCAGAAGCATATTGATGCGTAGTCAACAACCAGAAAATCTTGGTGACATATAATCCTGGTGTTTATTTATTGCTCATAAGTCTACAAGCCAACTGTGGTTTGATTGATCTAGGCGTGGCTCAGTGGGGCGTGGCTGCAGGTTGGTTTTAGGTCTGCTCCACGTGTCCCTCATCCTTTTGGAGTTGGCAAACCACCCAGAGCACAGTCTTCTCATGCAGAAGTGCAGGTGGGAGAACACGTTCCAGCTTTTGCTAACATTGCATCAACACTGCAAATCACATGGCCAAGCGCAAGAGCAATGGCAAGGGGAAGGCATCTTATGAAATTTCACCCTAGAGGCTGTGAGGAGTGAATCTCCAAAATTCAAACTAGCACACCATCTAAGCAACTTTACACAGCCTTTTCCTAATTTCTACCTTGCTGACAGTTACCCCACTATGTCTAACAGCCTTAGTAATTTTGAATCCTAAAAGAAAGTGTTTGGGTTCTCAGGCTTCTTCTCCCAGATGTCCACTCTGCTCCCCAAAACAACTGTCTAATCACTTCTCAGCATATTCTAAGCTGCTTATACCAACGGCCCTGTGGGTAACAAGCTATGAATCACCAACTCCCTACCAAGCTGAAGCTCAGGCCTGGTTCAGGCAAAATGTTGTAATAAAGAATATAGCTCAAAAGGGATATTATATTGAGTCTCAGCTCTTCATTCCTTTTTATTTGTGCACAAAATATCCATGTCATTCTGCTACTTTGCTGTTCACTTACTCAAATACCTTTGCTTGTTTGCCATTAATTGATATGGAGTTTATTAATGATAGAGAAATAAAAATTATGACAACCTAAGCATGTTCATTATCTGAATATTTGCCAGCTATTATGTATAGAGAGCTGACCAATGTAAAACATTATTTTTAAATTGCATAATATTATTTTCTTTAATTATCTGTGATCAAGTTAGACATTAATAAATGCATATTTATTCCCTGTGGTCAGCCAAGACTCTCTCATTGGTTTAATTTAAATTTGGAAATGTTGAGTAGAGTAGGACATTACCTAGATGCATGACTATAACAATTCATTTGGTTTAGTTAATTTTGAAGGCTGATATTTGCTAGCAAATAATTACACCATTTACACAAGTCTTTTTCCCCTTCGTGGCAAGTTTGATATGTGATCAGCCAGTAGATTAATCATTTGTGATATATTTTCAATTTTCATCCTTTATCATTTGGAGTGAGTCTCCCCCATCATTGTGGATGGTTCTACTAAGAAAGGCTGAGGAGGATTGGATGGTAGGAAATGGGGATTTGGGGGCAGCTCCGCCTTAGTTCTCTCCTAACTGACAAATTCAACTTCAGCGAGAGCTCAGGCTTTTACCCCCAAACGGGGGTGGGGGTGGGGTGGGGCGTGAGATGCAGTGTTCAAATCATAGCTCTGGTGTCAGAGACTGGGATGTTTGTCTTCACGACACCAATTTTGATTTCTGTGCTTTAAGTGAGTTACACGACCTGGCCAGCCCTTGATTTTGCCTCATAATATATTTGAAATAAGGTCATATATTTCAAAGGATTTTAGAAAAGTAAGGTGCTACACAAATATTTATTTTTGTCATTCTCAATATTGTTAACATCCACAGGAAGTTTTCCTTCAAGTATAGTTTTCAAAGGAATAAATGCATTTACCTCTCTTTTGTTTCTTTTGTATTTAATGGTAACATTACAATGGGAAACTTAGGAAATTTGTAGTGGTTTGTTAATATGAAAGCTTTTTTATTTTTCAACACTCCCTGCCTGTTTGTGTTAAAGATATTTTGGTCATGATTGATTTTTACTTTAGTCTAGGATCATGTAGTTTCATTTCTTTGATAATAGGAACACAAACAATTTCATATATTAATGGAAGAGTACTGTGGGTTAGCCCTAACTTTACTTTTTCCATCTTGGCTTCTCCAGCTCCCACAATGGGTGGCCCATTGTCAGGCTCAAGTTCTCAGCCCACTCTTGCCTTCAACTACTGGAGCAGGGGCTGGCCTGAGTGCCAAATTTCCCTAGGTTTATCTGACCTGAACAAAGCTCTGATGTTGAAGGCTGGCTTGACAGTTGCACCTTCCACTCCCCCTCAGCAGTACTTTCCTCAAATTGGCCCTCTCTCGGGCCTTGGTTTTCAAACCAAAGCCTGTGATTCGGTTTCTGTTTTGGTCTGAGACCTAAGTGAAGAGCTCCTCTCAGTGCTCCTCCCTGGGGCCTGAAGCCCTGCTGCTGGGCCAGTCTAGGTCACCTGTGAGTCAACCTGCTAAGTATTGTGTGTCTAGTTTCCACACTTCTAAGGGTGTTATTATTTTAAGAGGTGGTACTGGGTTTTCTCTTAGGGAGAAAAATGTCTTTGTTGAGGAAAATTCCTTGATAAATCACTGGAAGCAGAAGGTGACAGGGGGAGATGAAAATGTCACCAGGATCTCAAGACACAAAGTAGGCAAACCGGTCTGTACAGGGAACAGGTGCAGTGGGAGGGAGAAGAAAGGAGCTCCTGCCAAGAAGAGGTATATGTGGATCAGGAGCCCCACAGGCAGGTGGTTTGTGTTCTTTCTGTGCAATGTGTGAGGTCCCTTCTCAAGTCAACAACATTTACTACA